GACAGAAAGTGATAGATGAAAATTCTTCGAATCATAACGAGTAAACGGGAATGGAAAACTTAAAACTCACAAGGAACATAGGGAGTAAGCGAGATAAGGAAACACAGTGGGGCAACAATCGGACGGGTTTGTGTGAATAGATGGCGAAATGGGTGTAGGATGCTTGACAAATTGAGAAAATCTTCTAAGGACCATGAGGGATAATAAATTTTGAAGAGCCATGATCGTCCAAGTTCTGTCACGGCATATAGATGAAGAAGGGACTGCATCTGTAATACAAAATATAAATATATTGAAATAAATCTTACATGGAAGCAATTTTATGCATTGCAAAGATAAAGAGTTTAATAAAAAATTATATTTAAAATGTATTCTCCACCTCCGAGCTGACTTAAATTATTTGCAGTTGAATTTACTCAAGCTCTACCCCTGTAACTACATTGTTTTTAATACATAAATGATCCTTTATCAGTTATCGAAACGGTATCTCTGTCTATGACACCACTATTTAGCCTTATACTAATGTCAATCTTATAGGTTCGATAAAGCTAAACTGGCAGCTGTTTTCAAAATTACGTTCAATTTCACCTTAACTGGGCAAAAATTGGCTTTTTGAAATTTTAACGCCTCCGAAAATAGAGAACAATAAAAGGAGACTGATGATAACAATTGACGGCGCGTTTAATTTTCTAAGTCGTAAATAGAGACAATTAGAATATCACTTGTAAATATATGAGAACTAGCTACGAATCTAGTACAACGCTTAAGTCGGGGTACCAAATAGAATGACTCATCAGAATGATTAATATGAAATAGAATAGGGCAGAGGGAAACTATGTTAAGGCGATGGCCAATTGACAGAAACAGAGATGGTAGATAAGGACAGAAAACGCTGTGGAAAATATTAAACCGAAAAGCTGTATGATATTGCTTTTTGGAGTGAAGCACCAGTCATGATGTTGGTAGGAAAAATGAATCTGTAAGACGATAAAGTTTCACTTTGGTAAGTTTCGTTTTGATGGAGCCAAAATAATTTAAAGTGTATAGAAATATTTCTTACCACAGTTAAGCTGAGACTGTAGGTAAATTTCGAAGTCAGCGGCCAATTTGATTTTATCGAAATTATCGTAAAGTGGTAACTAATTGCGTCATCAACATAGATACAGGCACGGGAGCTAGTGCCATCAGGGATTTTGGTCATGAAAACAACGAAAAAATTAAGTCTAAATATATAGCCCTGAAGGTGTCAAAATATTAAGAAAGTTACCGTTCAATACAATATTTATTTTCGGATATGATAAGAAAAATTGAAACAAATTTGAAATTCGGTTAGATTCAACTTGTAAAGTAGACAAACATGCCAAAGTCGATCGAACGCCTTAGAAATGTTTAATGCAAGTGATCGATCTTCGCCATTGTAATCTAAAACAAGGCAGAGGCTTTCAGATCTAACCATTAGCATATTGATGGTTGACTGAAAAGTGTAACTCATATTGCTTAGAGAAATTAGGTAAAGTGGGTGTGATATGCATGTCTATATATAAATCAGTATATAAATTTGACAAACACGGGTGAAACCGTCTTTCACGTTGTTAAACACTACCATAATTATTTTCATGTTTTTGGGCAGGAAAACGTAATCATGCATGAAAACATACGCAAAATAAGTGTCGAATACGTTTCCAAATTGAAATTTGGGATAGTGAAAAGCTTATACATCGCAAGTTCTATTGATATATAGTTCCAAAGATAGTTTGTTGACGCAAAACGTTTCATTATTTCACTATGGAGAGTACGATGAATAAATTGTCGTCTAAATTACACAAAAATTAAAATAAAACTCATTTTAAATGATATATTTTAACAAAATTAAAATATATCTTGAAATGTCATGATTAAATTTCTTCAATAAAATCGACATTGGCTTCAATCACGGCGTCCGGGAGACTTCGGAATCTCCTAAAACTTTTCTGCAAAGTCTCTTTGTTTAGGTTTCATGTTTAAACGGTTTTCTTGAATAGGTTAAAGGTAGAGTCCTATAATTAATGCAGAATATTTATGAACATATTTTATAAACTTAAAAGCAATGGAATTTACGGCAATCCTACATGGTTTTTATTTGTTACGTTTTTCTGACATGAATAAAATATCGTAACCATTGTGTGTCATCTGGACTACACCACTCATTCTCTGTACATACACACACACATACACATACAAACAAAGAGTCAAATACAGACGTACATACACACACACGTGACCGTGTGTGAAAGGACGTAGAAAGAACTTGTTAGGCTAATCGGCGTCAGAGACCCATAGTCATTTTAATGCACCATTGGGAGTGAATAAAACACTGTTCTTTTCAGAACCTTTTTTCTACGAGTGAAAATTTTGTATATTCAACCGAAGGCATATTTGATTTCTGCTTGTCACAACCTTTTTTGTGCCACTAGACTTAAGGCCAATTCTGAAGAAATGTTGGTTTTACCGCGATGCAATATTTTAACCATTCTGTGTGTATATGTGTCTTTGCACGCACGAGCGTGTACATGCTCGATTTTCAGTCGATAAACATCCAAGCAGATCATATATATGGAAAAATCTCTAACTCTGACGCTGTCTACGCATATGTGTCTATGCATATACTGTCTTTATTGTATTTTGCACTCAGGTAATATCATATCCATGTTACTAAGAATTTAGCTGATGTTTCGCATATGGTAATTTAAATGTAATAATGAGGCAAAACTCATTCCAGAGACATAGTTTCTAATTAAACTGTTCTGGATGACAAACAGGCATATAAATAATAATTTCTATCATTTCTGTAACTCTCGTGTTTGCTTTGTTATTATTCGTTTGGATAAAGATACTTAATTATTAAGTATATGAAGAATATTTGGAATTAATTTCACCACAGAATCTGAGTCGAAATAACATCTTAAGCAAAGACCTCTAAAACGAAAGAACAAATGTCAATCCGAGACATAACAAATAATTTAGTTAATATAAAATAAAAAAAAAGATAAAGTAAATTAAAGAATTCAAAAAAGTTTCAGAATGGACAAAAACGAACATTTTCGAACTTTCCAACATTTTTGACATTTGTTTTTGGATCGTTGTAATTTTTTCTTTCGTTCTTTAAAAAAAAAAATTATTGTACGTAGTCTATAATAAATTGACGGATTTCGAAATATATTAAGGCTATTTGAAAATCTTTTTGTTCTAATTGAATATATATATATATATATATATATATATATATATATAT